TCCCTGTTACGGCTTACTCTTAGCTAGGCTTTTCGGGTAGGATCGTCGAACTCTTTTCAACTTGCATGGTCCTGCTCAGGAGTTGAAGACCTCGCTGTATTTCGCATACCGGCAACACCCAGGAACACCTCCAAGCCACGATGAGGCGGCTAAACCATTAGAGAGATGAATGGGAAATGAGATAGATAAATGGTGGAATGTGAAAAACAACGCTGTAAACTCTACATTGAACCGAAGATCACAGGTGAAAACCTGCAATACAGAGAAATGAACAAGGCTCTCGGCGTTGACAGAATCTCCAAGAATGCGTCCATCATCCGGGCGACTTCATCAAGCATCGTTCGAGGTCATCAAATGCGTTTCTGCTCTTAACAGGGACTCACTTGCGACCTCCGGATGTATCAAGTCACTGCTAATATACATCTAGAGAAGTCTGGTACCTATTTACCGAACTCGAAGAGATGGAAGGCCTGGTGGGCCACAAGAGCGACATCGTACTATTGACTACGCGTGCGTCGCAGACTAGCCCTGACCACTGCGTCCCTTTTCATATAGAAAAGATGCCGACATACATCCAGAGAACTTTCTGTGTACATGACCTGCATCACGTCTACTGTGCAGATCCAAATACTTCCTCTATTCGTTTCGCTTTCTCGCATTCATCCTCCTCAAGGGTCTTCGAACATTTCGTGTTCTGCTTCGGCCGCTGCTTGAAGGTTTCCTTCTTTTAGGAATGTCGTGGAAAGCTGGTCGCGAGGATCTTTATTATGACCTTGGGAACAGTCGTGCTAAGGCGCATTTCTGTAGCACTTGATCGTCCGGTTCGAGTAGCTTTCTCTTCGATCTCTTTCAGAACCACGTTTTCTATCAGACATTTTTCTAAGAAAATGCTTTGTAATGAATCATTTCAGTCAAATCGAGAGAATGATATGAGATGAAGCACAGTGAACGATGTCCCGCTACGAGGTATCGATTCTGTCAGCAGCAATCAGTTGTCAACTGTTTGGACTGGTGAACACATATATTGGCATTGAAAGCATATGTTTTGTGAATACAAGCTAGAATAATCGAGCTAATAAGCATGAAAGTCGACCTTAGACGGGAGTTGAGCCGGCGCTTCACCCACAGGGTGGCGCGTGCTACCACTACTACAGTAGAGAGAGGCGCTGCTTCGCCACCACTCATTCTGGCTTAAAAGTGGATTTGGATTTCGAAATTCTTGTATTACTTTGGTAGAGCACGATTTTCTTTCACTCGTTCTCCATGCTTTCGTCCAGACCTATGTGTCATGTATAGAGAAAAACGCTGGTTCACCGCGCATTCACAATGATTTTAGGGGTAATTAATCAATTGTATTGAATTGTGCAATGGATATTATAGCGATTTTTTTGAGTTTTGATTTTTTCTAGTTCTGAAAAAAAACCCAAGAGTATTCATAATGAGTGGCGATTAGAAACAGCGAGTATTTTGTCAGAAGTGATGACGGTGCATGTTGCGATCGACATAACGTCCCGAGTGCAACACTTACTACTCTTTTAATTGTAACCACGTAATAAAGAGCGCTTTTTGAAAAGCAGGCATATGATTGGAATTGTTGAGATTTCTGCTATCGAACAGTTATTGAACGTCTGAATGAAAAGCTGTGCCCAGCGAAAGCTGCTTGAGTGCGGAACGTAGAAAATTTATTTCGCACTATAACAGTGAAATATAAAAACCGTTTCGCAAAATAAAGTATACCGGTCGATTTATCGAAAATCATGCACTAAAATGGCAGAAGGAATAAAAAGGACGCTTTTTGGATTAGGGTCTAGACAGGGGAAAAGTGCCCAAGTGCTCGCAACAGTGATGAGCGATCGCTTTTTGCTATAGTTATTCCGGCTCGACGTCACAATTACCTCCCCATCCAGACCTCTATCAGAGGTGTTTAGTTGCAGAAGATGTGCTTTCAGACTACGTTCTTACATGACAGGCAATCCGAATGTATAAGAATGGTTGGAAGTTGTTTTTTTTATTCACAGGAATGTAGTATTATCTTGAAAAATGAAGGATTTCAATAGAATTAGTGGCTTTATATGCCAGAAAACATCTAAAAAAGATTCATTCGCGATATTCCAGTTTTTGTGTAACGATCAAATGCCTTTGACTTATAAAATTTATGCATAATTACCAATAAACCATCCAGGACGTCGAAGCGGATGGCAGCATTCTAGGCGTAAAATGCGATATTCTTCTTACTCTTACAGCATTTTATGGTAACCTTTAGTAAAACTAAACACATCATCGAAATCCTCGAGATTTGGGCTATCTAATGACCTGTAGAACTTTAGTGAAGAGCCATGTCGAAGCTTAAGCGGAGCAAATGAATTTGAGTGTACAACGTAATGTTATTTTCTCTGCTACATTGTAATGAAAAGTCTTTTTTTCAAAACCTTCTGATGTTTCGATTCCATTTTTGTGGCAGCGCGATATTTTCAATACAGCTAAGAGAACTGAGTGCTGACCAAAAAAAAACCTCCCACGGGAGTCGAACCCGCACTTCATCCACACCGGGAACGCATGCAACCACTACCCACCGAGGCACATTTGCGCCATCACTCATTCTTCAACATCTTTATGTAAGCTGTCAGCCATCAAGCTTCAATAGGTTTTGTTATGTATGTGATTTCGCGTTCTGAACCCGGTTGAGCTGACAGCCATGTGATGCGTAATACTCGTGAGATATAGTCTTTCTATTGATTTTTTTCCTCAACGTTACGATCTATCCAACACACCCGAAAGAACTGAGTGGTGAGCAAAAATACGAGCTATCACACAGAGATGTCAAAGAATGGGCAAATGTGCCTCGGTGATGTAGTGGTAGAAGGCGTTCTCGGTATAGATAGAACGCGGGTTCGACTCCTGTCCGGGGTCGTCTTTTTGCCCACTGCTCAATTCTCTTTTTTCTTTAAAATTAAAAATGTCCCGTTGAAATTGCAAAGATTTGAGCTTTTCAATGAGTATCACATGTCTCACAGATATCTTTGGCACAGCGATAAAGGCCTGCAAACCCTCGTGTATCATATTTGATACACGCGGTCCCTCAAGGGTTGAGAAACGACCAAAAGCTAGCTGTTGGACGATAGCAGTCAGCTGGCATTATCTTTGCGAGCTGCCATTACTGCAGAACGAGAGATTCGATAGCGAGAGTCTATGAGGATAAAGTTTATTGGAAGAATATCGATTAATTCTGATGAAAAGGCGGATTATAAAGGAAGTTTTAGAAATAATAAAGGAGAAACTGAACAATAATATGTTAATGATAGGAAAAGGCAATAAATGACTAGCCATAGAAATAATAAATGAAAATAAAAATGAAATTCAACGATTAGGTCCCGACACGAAATGGGTTAGTTCTGCAGGAGGGTACTACTGTACTCAAGGGCGCGAAGTTATTGTGGCCGGCCTTCTGGTGACGTCATCTGCTTTTTTCAGTTTTCCTTCATGTCAGCGAACTATTTCATAAACTGCTAAGTCGTCTTTCTAGCTGATTTGCAAGCTTGATTTCTCCATAGTTAGCCTTGCTAGGTTCGATCCCCGCCGAAATTCATCTTCTTCTATTCGGAAGAGAAAAATAGTGTGTCAGCAGCACAGCAAATTCTCAGAGGATTGGTGATGTCGAAACGATATGAAGAACTTCATACGACCTTGTTTGAGAAATTTCGGATAGACTCGGATGAAGGAGGGAAGTGGGACGTTGCGAATCGATCAATATCGATTGGAGCCGGATCGAGCGGATGCTAGTAATCGATCGATAAGTATAGTCGTGTGCAGGACGCGATTATTGCCATAGTTTTTCATCAATAATAATAGAACAATTCATAAGTGTCGTCGTTCTTGAGTATGAGCTTAATGGTCACTACCATAACAGGTCGTATTATTGATTACTGGGTAGATCGTAAATATCGATTGTTTTTGATGCCAGAGAGTCCCTATCTCTTAACGATTTCTATGAGTGCTTGCAGTTTATAGGACTTTTGATCGACGTAAAGTGAAAGTTATTGAGGACGGGGATCGTTTGAGAGGTCGTGGAACGAAAAGGATCGTGTACGGTGACCAGCTAGCCTGCGACATCATGCACCTTCCACCCAATTTCCCCTCATGTCACAGAGCTCATTTATGAACTGAGTCGTCTTCTGGCTCATCTGTAAGATCGATTCCTCTATAGTTAGCCCAACTAAGTTCGATCCCCACTGAATTCTTGCTCTACTTGCTTCTTGCAACTCTGAAATTCGTTTCGTGCAGCAGTTTTTGACTTCCTCATTGATCACTTTTGTTTACAATTCAACAGAATTCATTTTGATTCTACAACTCAGTATTTTTACAATTTCTCATATTCTCTTCTGAGTACATCCTCTCAGCAAATTTCAAGCCTTCTATGAGGTCTGTTATGGCCACCTCTAGTGGCTAGACGTACGCTTCGGTTTATCCTAGCCAGCCTTATCAGTCCACGTGGCTTTCGATCCAAACAATCCCCTTATCCCAGTCTCCTCCTTTTTTCATCTTTTTGAGTTTTATCTGCTTATTGTTAGTCACGTTCAAGTGGGAACCTGCTCGAGGTGAAATGTCTTTTTTTATCCATTGTCTTTTCTATCTCGAGCAAAGCATTTGAAAGAATTCGTGAGTTGTAAAGTCCCACCATCTCTGAGCCGTATCATTCACGGTTTTGATCGTGGCTATCTCTAGCATTTTTATCATTCAAATCGTCCATTTCTCAGTGATAAAGGTTCAGAATGTCGTCGCGTGAGACTCCAGTGACTGAATCGTGGCCTCTGGTAAAATATGTCGATCTTCAAAACATAGTACCACGTGCGATAGTGAGTTTGTTTTTATATCACTTTTACCTTACAGAATTCTTCTTATTTAACCGCTGTTAGCAGTGATATGGTGTTGTGGATTCAGCCAATGATGTGAAGTGATGTGCAAACTTTTGCTTCATGCGGGGCTCGAACTTTGCTAGAGAGGCGCGAGTATTGCAACGGGTTAGAGCGTGCGCCCCCCGGACAGGGTGAGATGCGGGTTCGAGTCCCGCCCCGTGCAAAAGCTTTGCGGATCACTCTACATCATTGGTTTATCTACTATTACCTTTTTTAATCCAATCTATTACTGCTTTTCAGCAGTGCTGTGATGTTTAGAATATACGTCCAAGAGTATTGAGTGCTGTGTAAAAATTCGACCCAAGGCGAAAGTTGAACCCACGTTTCACCCATACTTGGGCACGAGGTCAATGGTTCGATCTCGCGCTCATGGCTCACCAAGCTATCTATCCTTCAGGGGTCCGTAAATTAGTACTAGACTTGTCTCAGACTTGTCTGGGAGGATGAACAGCATAGACTCGATGCAGGGGAGGCCACCGCGAGACATTGTAAAGGCGAAATATGCAATCAGTCACCTCAAAGAAGTTAGAAATTGAAGAGGAATGCATGGTGCATCCTTCAGGGAATGATCAACGTCGAGAGCCCTATTCTCTTATCTTTCATGCTCAAATCATTGACACAACAAATCACACCATATCTCATATAGTTTTTACCGTAAAACAATCGATCAATCTAAATAATTTGTTCATCACTATTTGTTCAACATTCTGCAATTTATGACAACATATGTTTAAGTACAAAATAGAAAGCAAAAACAATAGTACATTCTAAATAATGTGTTAATGTAATCATAGCAATATGAATACAATGAATGGTTATGAAATATCTGCTTCTTGATTACAAACAACAACTGCGTAACATCGCTGATTTTACAGAGATGTGTGAAATCATAACACTTTGAGCAGAAATGCATTTCGCATTCAGCACATCTGATATTTGTTGTTTTCGAATGATTTTGAGCTAAAACGGAGCCTTTCCAGCCGACATCTTTTCATAGCACTCACATAGGCGACGGTCCTCGGGTGTAACCTTTTCGAGAACACCGCTAGTCGTCGCTGAAGGAGAATCGTCTCCTAGTTAGCTGACATAAACTGCCTCAAACTCATTGAATGTTAGTCGTTCTTTGTTGGCGCAGTGCGTTCTATTAGTGTTAAGCAGCAGTGTATCATAGTGTATCATAGACGAAATGATATAGGATACGTACGTACCTGAGGAAGGGACATGCAGATTATAAAGCTAAGAAGTAGCAAATAACAAGTACCATGTTTTAGTCCTTTTAGGGAATGAAGAGTAGGCAGCCATCTGGTCCGTGAGGCCCACTAACCGAATGTAGGACGTGCTTTTGAGGTTGCAAATTGACGATGAAGTCCTTTCCGAGGGGGCTAGGCGTTACTCAGCTACTCGATCAGTCAGCGACTGCTTCGGTGTTAGCTGATGCGAAGGGTGCTTCATCGTTCAACTCATTATCCTGACGCTACTATGTGTGACATCTGGCTGCTTGACAGCTGCCACAACCGCCTTCACTCTCATGATACGAGACGCCGCCGTTACAGTAGCTGACCATGAGTGACCAAGAGAAAATTGAGAGCGAGAACAAGGACAAAACGAAGTACGCCCGACAAGGTCACGCGAAAGCAATTGCAAAATAAGGCTTATTTGTCAAAAATGATCTTGCATATTCCAAGGCAATGGAATTATTTGATCAATTTGATCTCTGAGCATTGATCATTGCTGCAATCTTCCTCATTTCATTGATACCATTATCACTGTTTTTACTATCATTGTGGTTATCATTCAGCCATGTGTTTTTCTCGTTGAAACGTAAGAATTGTCGATGGAATATGGAAGATATAGATGTTCTTTTCACTAAGATTACATCTGTAGAAGCTTTTTCAATAAAATTTCATCTATTCTTGATGAAAATACTCTTAGAATATGGGTTCGTCTTTTTGCATCCATTATGCTGTCTCGCGTCTGTCTTCTCACAAGAAGCGCCTCCTTTCTGACGGGGCGCGGCGTCGCCACTACAGTAGCTGAGGAAATTTCACACCGAGCGTTTTGGGACAAAACCTCGCACATGGTCCACAAAAGGGTTAAGGAATTTGGTTGAGTGGGCATATATTGGCACTAGACCGAGATAAGCTAAGAGCTGATCGAAACATATAATTTTTTTGAACACTTATTATTTCAGATCTTTTTTTTCATGTTTTATTTTTTACTTGGTTATATTTCATGTCGATATGGGACTGGTCGTGGAGCTCTTCAGATCTCAGCGAGTGCTTCGCGTCCGTAATGGTGTGGAGATAGTCGAACAAATATTTCTTACTGATCAGTCAATAATCGCTGTGTCAGTCCTCAGCCTCTTTCTCTTTTGTTTGTTTTCTTTCTTCCTGTTTATCTATTACCTAAGTGGATTCCCAGTTCACTAAAGTCTGATACAGTATTACGACTAGTTAATTTCCTGCTCATTTAATACTTTGATTCCTAGGTATCGTGACACAGCCGTAGTGTTGAAAGCAGGTGGAAAGCTACAGTCCAAAAAGTTTCGCATCCGCTTTTCGAACACAGCGGATCGGCTTTCGTTTTGTATGGCCGTGAGAGAATTCATCACGGTAGAAGAAAACTTGCCGGTATATTATATTATTATTTGTAGCAGTTCAAAGTCTCCCTGTAATAAGATTTATCTTCACGGTATTTAGTCGCAGCCATCTACCGGCGAAAGTTCCTTTTCACAAACCCGTCAAACAAGCGACTCTTTCAGCAGTCAGCCACGTCTGTCGGTATGTCAATATCAGTTCCTAAATTAAAGTGTTGGCTTTCTAAATTTATTTTGCCCTGTTTGCGTAACCAACTTAGGGAATGGGAAAGCTCGCAGTTATATCTGTATGAATTGTACAAATTTTCCACCAGCCCTCTCGAGGTCATAGACTCAACTCCTTCGTCTCTATCCTTGTGTGTGTTGGATTAAAAGGCGCCATTGTTAGGCGCGACACTCTGGAGGATAGAGATGTAGAGGATTGGGCCTGTGTTCCTAGAAGGGTTAGTCTTCAAACTTTTGACTTTGAAAACCTTTCTTCCTCCTGCGCGCTGTATCCTAAATGCTAGATTTTTTTTTGGTACTTTTTTGTTAGGAGACCACAAGTGACCATACTACCCCATTCGATCAACAAGAATTTTTTTATGATATTACTAATTATTCTATAGCTCAAATCTCTAGCTAGAGCCGAATATGGCTGGTTTTTGTAAACACCCTTTTATAATGCTGCAAATTCCAAAGCAAAAATTATGTTACACACGACCATGGTTTCTTTTCTCTTATCTCCCTTATATTTTTGTGCACAAAACTCCTTCTTCCGCCTGCTAGTACTCTTTTGATAGCACAAGATGAAGGAACTCAAAAATGCGTTTCCTTTTGGAAAAGTTCTTTTGATAGCGCTGTAGAAGAAAGAAAGGATTTGTGCTTTATATATCACTGAGCAGAGCTCTTTCTCAGACTATCAGTAGTCGTACGATGCGTAAGTTTCGATGATTCCAATGTTACATTTATTTTCTAAGAAACAGCTTCACCGCAGTGTAGCAGGAAAAATGAGGTCGAGTGTTAATTCTTCGACCAGCTTGTTTACCTGCTAATCTATGCGCTGGGGCAGGTGGATCGATAGATGGCTTGGAGTGTTGAACATGTGGGATCCAGTTTGTTATTCAATAGGAATTTTGCCTGCGCTTTTGAAGAAACTCCAAATGAAACGATCGACTCAGGTATTACGACATTTTTTCCACACCTTCAAAGACTTTTCGTGATTCCAACGAATTATAGGCGTGGTAAAAATGAAGGCCCGCTGCGCATGTGAAGCATAGTTGTGCTTTGGATCTTACAACTTCACAAGAGGTTTTTTTTTTGCAAAAAGCGGCCACGCACGCCTCTAGTTTGAGAATCATTCTTTGGAGTGATCACTATCACTCCTATGAAAAAGTCTTGTCCCGAAAGTGAACTCGTACATTCATTTGCTGCCGTCTAACAGAAAAGCACCTTTTTTTGTATTCTTCGTTTTAACTGTAACAGCGTGATTTCAATATGACCGATGATATTAAGTTTTCGGCTCAATTTTCGCCAGTCAGCAAACGCCCACGTCTTCAGCCTTCAGAGCTCCTAACCCGAGGAGGAAGTGTTCAGGACGTGAGAACATTTGATTTTTATCTTTTAGCCAATTCAATCTTTATTTAGTCAAATGTAGTTACAGGCTACCACGCGTCCATTCAAGAGTGAAGGATTGACCACGGTAGGTTGTCGAACTGCATTCAATCACGAAAAAATTGTCTGACATATTTGTGCTACTGTAGTGATATAAGTTTAACAGTACTTTTCCATTTTTCGCCTCAACTTCTGAACTCGTAAAAAGCGCACTTTCTATTTTTTTAGTTTCAATCATTGTTCAAGTACTTGAACGTTGAAAAAAATTTTAAATTACACTTTGTTTCTGAAATGGTCTTTTTGATGCGTTGTAACAACAAAATTAAAATTGTGTTACCCGTCCACATTTCTTGCTGAACGAAGCCTTTCTTTACAGTTTTAGCCGCCATTCGATAGCTTAAATCTCGACAATTCCAGCGATACATTTGTTTTTTCGGAAGGAAGTTCTTAATGCGCCGTGACAATCAGAAAAGCACTGGGTTTCGCAAATTGGAAACTGGCAAAAACACGACGACTTGGTGCCAGTTTTGCGTTGCGCGAAACTCGGCATTCTTTGGGTTGCGACAGCTCTCTAAAAAGCTCTTTCCAAGAAGCAAATACAGTATTGGAATAAGTGATACTCAAGCTACCGAAGGGTCATCAAAAGTCTGATGAAAAAACTTTGTTCACTGGGAAATGCTCAAATAAGAAACGTAGTTACATTTTCTCTGTTAGAGCGCATTTACTACGCATACTAAAGCCATTTTGAGAGCAAAGTGCACAAATGAAATTTTTGAGACTGGGCTACTAGATTTTTGTAAAACATAGAAAAAAATTATACGACACGTTTTTTTCTCAAGCGTTCGATAAAAGGTGCTGAGAACGTGAATGATCATGGTTTGCAAAACTCAGTGTTCTCCAGTCTGTTACAGCGTAATAGAAAGTTCTTCATAAAATTGAGTATATCCCTAAAATCATCGTGGTTTACGCTATCG